GGGTGTCCATTATATCACAAGCACAACCCCAAAATGTGCTGGAGCAGGAAGTCGAGCAGGGCCTCAGTCCCTGGAACTTTCTACACATGAGGAAGGCAGGGCTGAGTAGGCCAGATGCGGTGGTAGGAGGGGTGCGTCCTGCTCCCCTTTTCTGAGTCACTGGGATTTTGGGCTGCAGGTGGTCAGAGGGAGCCATTTTGGGGGGTTCTCAGCAATAGATGGGGATACAGTAGGAGGGCAAAGTCACAGAAATTCTCTGCTGGAACTCCAAGACACGGACTGGGAGCCGTCTGTAGGACCAAGACCCAGACTTGGACCAGGATTAAAGGTGGTGGGGGGTGTGGGGTGCTGAATGTGGGAAACAGAACAGAAGTGCAGGGAGATGGCCTGACCTCCAGGAGCCACCATCACTCTCAGTGTTCCCCGCCCTGTATTTCTTTCTTCCAAGAAAGGTTATTTCCAAGAGGACAGGTTGGATGAGCAAAAGGCCATTTTATTTCTACTTTATAAAAATGGATGAAAGGAGAGTTGAAATAGTTTTGCCTCTTACATCACTGGGTGTGGGTTCTGAAGGCCCTGGAGGGTGCCCCTGTCGCCAGCCTGAACAGGTAGACATGGAGGTCGTGCGGGTCACATGGCTGGTTGACGCCCATAAAGCTGTGGCCAAGCAGAACTTGGCGGGGTATCTCTGGTCCTGTTCCCTACCCCTGGGCCACCTGGCTCTCCCAGAATTGGCTAAGTGCTGTCCTTCCACTTTGTCTAACAGACCACGGCAAGGATAGGCCAAACAAGAAGGAGCCACCTCAACTTGCAGGTCAGGTCGGGGCTTCAGAACACCTGAGTTCCAACCTCCGATCTCACCGCAAGCTAGCCCCACAGTGTCCTCAACTGATTTTCTAAAAATATTTTGGGCAATCTTGAGGGCAAACTCCATTAAAAATCTGTACCCCGTCTAGCATCCGGAGGTGTCAGCGTTCGTGAGCAAACAGATCTCATTCTCGGTATGAGTGTACCTCCGCTGGAGGCTCCTGGGGAGATGCCCTCCTTGTGTTTTCCAGCTGCCGGTGTTACAGGCAAACCGTGGGGCGCCTTGGCTCACAGCCACATCTCCAACCGCTGCCTCCTTGGAGTCCTTGCTGTCGCTTAGAAGGACGCTCTCCTTCTAAGTGCCAGGCCAGGACGATCCCATCTCCATCCTCACATCTGCAATGGCCCTTTCCAGATAAGGTCCCACCCGCAGATTCTGGGTGGACGTGAATTTTGAGGAGACACGATTCAAACATGTCTTTGTTATCTCTTCCTTCTCAGCGTGTGGCCCCCCCATCCTGACAACTTGTGCTTCCCTTCAGACACTCTGCTGAGACCCTTACACAAGGTGGTTTCCTGAGACAGATGCTGCAGAGATCACACCTCCCTAACGAGTTCTGCAGACTCCCTGGAAGTCTTGCTGGAAATGCTGCTTTCTCTGTTTCCTTCTGGGATGGAAAAACCCTCCCCATGGCTCCACCAGTCAGTCAGGGAGACATTCCAAGCCGGTCTTTCCACTTGGGTTTTCTCATCTGTCTATCTTTTATTTACACAAGCCTCAAACTACTGAACACTGCTTGGTAAACACTCCCTCACTTACTATGCAAATGCTGGCACTGAGGCCCACACCCGTCCTTCTCCAGGAAAGCCACGCGGGTGCTGAGTGTGCGGATGGACTTTCTTCACATTCTTTGGGGTTTTGGGGGAAGGGTATGTTTTTCCTAACATCACTCCAAATGTATTTCTTAACAAAAACCTCCTAATCTTTGGAAAATGGAAAAGAAATTACTCATCTGGAAGGAAACTCCAAGTTTTTAGGAGCCGTAAATCCCCTGGGTGACTGCAATCACCTCGCCCGCCAGCATGCTGAGACGGCATGGCCTCGTCCCGGGCTGGGTTTCTGGCAGCAATTTCTGCAGCATCGATGTCTGGGTCATGCGTTTGAATTTCTGGCCAGGAGTTTCCAGTGGGTCTTCCTTCCTGCGGGGAAAGAGCCCCTGTGCAGTGCCCGCCCTGCGTCACGGCTCTCATAACGTCCGAGCATTCTGCGCGCCTGGAAAGGTGGAGAAGCCGGGAGGATGAAGTGGGGGGGCCGTCAGCTTCTGAGTCCCCCTTCATCTTTACGGAGCAATAGTGAGAGTCTTTTTCTAGGTTAGCGGTTTGCCAAATGGCCAGCTTTAGAGGGAGCCACCACCCTTCTAAGAATTTTAACTATATAATCACATGGCATTTAAATATATTCCCAAGACCAAAGGGATCACGGGGCACCAGTTTCTCAGCTGGGAGTGACTTCCTCTCACTCCTGGATTCTCTCGGCAGGAGGTAGATGAAAAGAGCTGCTGAACAAGTGACTTTCCTGGTTTGTGATCTCCGTGGGAAAGAACATGCCAGCCGTCTGAGCCTTGAATGTCAGAATGCAGTGTTTTCCTGCTGATCACTGCTGTTCTGGGAAATGCAGCTGTGGTTCTGTGAGACCGTGGAGAGGTCCTTAAAAGAAGATGCACGCCCAGGAAGTGGGAACCACAAGTGGCTGTGGGGAGCCCTCTTCTGCCTGCTTTTTCCTGGCCCTCGCCAGTGTGCATGTGGGCTGACCCCAGGCCATTTAACCAGCACGTATTGAGTACTTACTGTATGCCAGACATGGGCTGGGCCCCAAGAGGAATTAGTCTTGGGTCCTGATTCCTCCTTTTGATTTTGCTTTGTTTTGGTTTTGTTTTTGAGACAGGGTCTTGTTCTGCTGCCCAGGCTGGAGTGCAGTGGCCTGAACATGGCTCATTGTAGCCTAGACCTCCTGGGCTCAAATCATCCTCCTGCCTCAGCCTCCTGAGTAGCTGGGTCTACTGGCACACACCACCACGCCTGGCACATTTTTTCTTTTGTAATGTTTTGTAGAGGCAGGGGTCTCACTATGTTGCCCAGGCTGGTCTCTAGTTCTTGGTGTGAAGTGATCCTCTTGTCTCAGCTTCCTAAAGTGCTGGGATTACAGGCGTGAGGCACCCAGCCCCAACTCCTCCCCTTGTGCTGCCCATCACCCATCAGGGCAGGGGAGACCCTCACTCACATTGTCACACAGAAGAAAGGGACCAATACCTGAGAGAGGTGACAGCTAAGCGCTGTTTTGGGTGTCGGGGGTGGGATGGTGGTGGGCCGAGGACTGGAAGGCAGCAGGGAGGGATGAGTGTTTGAGCTGGCACCGATTGGGTCAATATTTGTTCCTCCCTTTTGTCCTGATGCTGATTTGTGGCCTAGCGTCCTCCTAGGTAGGGCTCCGATTGTGTTGCTTGAACTTGGCCTCTGACCCCAGGCTGACGTGGACCCTGGATTCGTTGCTGCCACTCAGCTTTGCCTCCCTGAGTTCTGGTTCTGGTCAGCTCCTCAGTGGCTCACTGCCCCTGGGGATGGCTCTTGCCATTTTTTTGTCCCAGTGTCAGGAGTTTCTGGGCTTGGAGTCAGCCCTGCCTTTCTGAGGCCAGAACCTTCCTGAGGCCAGCTGCCTGGTCCCCACCCCTAATCCCGTGTCTGTGGCCTTATGCTGTTGTGATCCACACTGTCCTGCCCATCATGCTGTCACCTGCTTGCCTTAACACTGGCCGGCTACTGCTGGGCCCCCTTGGAAGCCCTGACCTGGCCCAGGCTGAATGTCCCCCGTCTGGACCATTTGGGGGCTACCTCTAGGCCAGGCCTTCACTGCCTGCCTGCCTATGCCCAGAGACCACCAATGGCAAGGAGTCCATCTGGCTAGCAGTTCCCACGGACAGTGGACAGTGGACTGTGGACAGTGACTGCAGTGGATGTTACGCAGCCCTTCTTAGCACGGAAGGTTGATTTCAGGGTCACTCTTGCACTTGATCTTCCTGAGGAGGAAGCAAGGAAGCCAGGCTCTCCGAGGCACTGATTGCATTCTGCGCTCTTGGAGCAAGCTGGCTCAGTGGCCACTGGTGAGCATGTACTTTTGCTTCATTTGCAGATGAGATGCTAGGCCAAGTGTCTTCCAAAGGCCACCTAGAAAGCAAATGCCAGTCGATCTGGGGTTAGACCTGGCTCTGCAAGGTCTCGAAGGCCACAGCAGCCCTCTTCCTCCTTGTCTTCCACAGCGGCCAGTGGATCCTGAAGTCTCTGTTCCCCAATCGCTGCGTCCTTGCACCTCAGGGCTGAGCTCCTTGTCTACCCTCCACTGACACCACCTGAAGCTGTCGCTCAGGCGTGGAGGCTGGAGGGCCCCAGTGGGGATGGACAGGGTAGGTGGGGGGCACTGCCTGCCTGGCAGATTCACCCAACGCCGGTGTTTCTCATCACAGCGCCTCAGACAAAGCAGGCTGTGGCTTAACAGCCCTCGTTATCTGACCTAAATTCCTGCTGAAATTGAAGTCAGTGTCTTCTGATTCAGCCCTGATGACCTAGAGGCCACGATCGCCGTAGCCCTGTGAGGGGTCGCACCTTGTGCAGGGCACTGACGGTGACCGGGGCCACGCTGGCTGGTGCCCTGCCTTGATGCCCACTTCCAGAGAGGCAGAGCTCTCAGCGGCTACACTGTCCTGGGTGCTGGGCAGGGCGGGGGCCTGGTGTGTGGCCGGAAGGGTGGAGTGATGGGGCTGGCGAGGCATCTTGTGCCCTGCGCTCCAGCCTCCCTGCCCGCCACAAGGGCTCCTGGCTGAGGACAGCTCCCATCCCAGCCTCTCTGGAGGGCCCAGCTGACCCTTCTCCCTTCAGGCCTAGCTTTGGTACCACGGACCCTGCTGTCTGGGCGTAATTGGGCATGGGATTAGACTCTGTGCGAGTCGGCTTAGGCCAGGAATAAAGCAGCACAAACGGGAGCGTAAGCAGCCAACACTGACGCCCTCACAGCTCTGGAGGCCGCTGGGCCAAGAGCCAGCTGTCTGGGCAGAGCCCTCCTGGCCTGCACTGGCACGTGCGGGGACCCATGGTCCCTGGCGTGCCCCAGCTGCAGCCACCTCCCTCCACCTCCGCCTCCGCTGTCTCACAGTGCTCCCTTCTCTGTGCTTCTGCGTCCAAATTTCTCTCTTTTTATAAGGACATATTAGATTTAGGGCCCACCCTCCTCCAATCTGACCTCCTCTTAACTACACCTGCAAAAACCCTGTTTCCAAATAAGATCGCATTCACACGTATGGAAGGGTAGGACTTCAACATAGCATTTTGAGGGTCATGATATAGCCCACAAGAGACTTTAAGGCTTTTGGAGGCTGTGAGCTGTCCTGCTGAGGCCCTGGAGTGGCTGGCAGAGCGTGGGCCGGACCGGGGCAGGCTCTGCCGACAGAAACACCGGCACATCCACGGGGGCGGGGGGAGGGGGTCATGCTGGTGTCTTCTCTCTCTCTCTCTCTCTCTCCTTTCTTGTACATTTGGTTCTTCTCAAATGTGAGTTTTCTGTATCAGCATCCCGCCCCCCGCCCACACCCAAGTCTCACTTCCTGTTTTCGGCCTTCTGCCTGAGCTGCTTCACAAGTTGAACCTGCAGGGCTGGGCCTGCCCCGGCAAGGCATGTATTTATTTTTTTCTGGAAGGAAGAAGCGGTGACAGGTTATAGGCTGGAGGCTGTCCCTGTGCTCGGATCCCACACAGGTCCCCAGCAAGCCCGAGCACATGCCCTGCGGGGAGGGGGTCTTGAACTCTGGTCTGTGGGAGCAATGCGGCCGCCGGGCTCTCTCACGGGCAGGCGAGGCAGCATCTTCCCGGCCCTCATTTTCCTCCTCTGTCCCCAGGGCAAAGTCCTTCACAGTGGCACCCAGTGACCGGCCCTGACTTTGATCTTGGGAGCTTTCCTCTCCACCCAAGAGGCTCTGAGGTCATCTCTGTCTCAGAAAATCAGCAAGATCAACAGCGGGACAGTGGGGACTGCCGGCCACTCTCATCTGCATCATGGTGAGCCCTTGAACTGTGGCTTCCTCAGGACAAATCAGCCTTCCCCATGTGAACTTGTGGCAGGCAGAGAATCTGGGTTGGGACCCTGGACTGCACCCCAGGCTGGGCTCCTGGCCTTTTCCCTCTCTGCCCTGCTAAGGCCGCCGTGCCAAGCCCTGGGACCGTCCAACAGGGAGAAGGGCCTTGGGACAAAAATGACACTTTCTCAACATTGCCCATGGTTGAGGTTACAAGAAGCAGAGAATGTGAAAACGTTTGCAAATGAAAGTGGGGGAAGGATCGTGAAGAAGCAAGTTAGGGCTATGCCTGGCCGTAGCCAGTGCCAACACCGAGCCGCCTCTGCAGGGGAAAGTGAAGCAGATGTGGTGAGATAATACATCCAGCCCCGAGCGCTACTCTCATCTGCCAGAGGTGAGGGGAGATATTTCTCAGTGAGATGAAAGCATCACAGATGGATTAGATCTAAGGGAGGCGCCTACAGAGGCACAGCTATCAGAGAAACAAGTTCTCTGAAGAAACTAGGGAGGGGCTGACTGTCAGTCACGACCACCAGGGATCTGAGTCAGTTCACCAGCAGCCTTGGGGACATTCGCCTTGGGCTTCACAACCTGTCAGAAACCCCCTCAAGTCCAAAGGCATCAATAGAATGGCCGGGTTATTTCAGATTGACACACGTCCTAACATACCAGTCAGCCCACGCACCCCACATGTACTGAGCGCCTCTTGTTCACCCCAAATAAACTCTGCTGGAACTGGGGCGGGACTCACAGGGGTGGAGGAGAAGGGAGATGGGCAGAGGGCAAAAGTGGGTGGTGAGAAGAGCTGACGGAGGGGTCCCACGGTGAGCGAGGCTGCGTCCCTGGCTGACGTCCTGGGCTGCTGTGCAGAGAAGGAACCACGAGCTGGGAGGCTGAGCAGCAGACCGGCCCTCTCTCGCCAGCTCGGAGGCTGCAGGTCTGAAATCAAGGTGCTGGCAGTGCTGGTTTCCGCTGGAGGCTGTGAGCGAGAAACTGTCCCCTGCCTCTCTAGGCTCTGAGGTGGGAGCTTCCTAGCATCCCCGGGCTCATTGTGACAGATCACTCCAGTCTCCACATCTCAGGGTTTCCCTCCAGGCACCTCTAATCTCCCTCTCCTTTCTCTTGTAAGGCCACCAGCCATTGGATTTAGGTTCACCCCAAGTCCAGGATGATCTCATGTGAAGTGCATCTGCAGAAAGACCCTATTTCCAAATCAGTTTATGTTCACAGGTACCTGGGGTTAGGACTTGCACATATCTTTCACGGAGGGGTGGGGGGTGGTGAGGGGCTGCCATTCAGCCCACTGCACAGGGTAACCTTGGCCAAGGGCCCTTTGCTTTCACTGCTTAATTGGCAAGCTGCCCTGTGTTTGGACTGGGTTGAGGCTGTCAACCTTGCTGCCCCTTGGGGTTTCCCCAGGCGAGAGTCTAAGCTGCTTTTTCTGGGGCTGGAGGCCACTCATTGGGATTTTGTTAAAGAGCTTCCCACCAGGTGAGCAGCCCATCTTGGGCATCAGGAGACTTTCCTGGCAAAGGTGGTGAAGTTCCTTCCTCTTGAGAGATGCCTCGGACACAGGAACCCAGGGAGGTTGCTCACCTGATGGTTAGGGCAGGAGTGGTAGAAACCTCTGGTCTCAGTCCCCCTGGAGGAATCCCTTCCTCTAAGACTCGGCTGGTGCATGCCAGGAGCCACCGTGAACTTCACTCCCAAATGGCCACTTGCTTGTCCCCCACCTCCCCTTAGTCCCAGTGGTGGCTTTGCCCGAATTAGAGGGTGTGAGAGCCACCGTGTCTCAGCACCGAAATTAAAACAGCAAGCCCTTCAGAAGCAGCGGTGTACACCAGCCTCCTATGGGTGGAGCAGAGCAAACCACCCACTTTTACCCTCTGCCCATCTTCCCTCTTCTCTACACCCTGCGGCCCCTGAGTTCCAGCAGAGTTTATTTGGGGTGAGCAACAAGAGACGCTCAGAGTACGTGGGATGTGTGGGCTGACTTGTACCTTAGGGCCTGAGTCAATCTGAAATAAATTGGCCATTGTTTGGATGCCTTTGGGCTTGGGGTGGGGGTGGTTCTGGCAGTTTGTGGAGCCCAAGGTGAATGTCTGCAAGGCTGTCGGTGAATCAGATCCCTGGAGTTCTCAGCTGACAGTCCAGCCCGATGGTTTCTCTGCCAGCCATGCCTCTGCAGGTCCCTCCTCTGATCTAATTGGATGAGTATTTGAATCAATGGACTGAGTCAGGCAGGATGCGGTGGGCCTCGTGAAATTAGATGAAGGCCTGAAAAGAGCAGAAGGGCTGCCCTGCCCACGAGGAGGAGAGACCCCTCCTGCCAGACGGCCTTTGAGCTGGACTTGAACTGAAACATTGGCTCTCCTGGGCTCCAGCCTGCCCATTCACCCTGCACGTGGTGTTGGACTTAAGCTCCATAACTGCGTGAGCCAATTTCTTATCATCACACATTTCTTTTTCTTTCTTTTCTTTTCTTGTCTTTTGAGGCAGAATTTTGCTTTTGTCACCCAAGCTGGAGTGCAATGGCTCGATCTTGGCTCACTGCAACCTCTGCCTCCCAGGTTGGTTCAAGCGATTCCACTGCCTAAGCCTCCCCAGTAGCTGGGACTACAGGCAGCCACCACCATACCCGGCTAATTTTTGTATTGTTAGTAGAAATGAGTTTTTGCCATGTTGTCCAGGCTGGTCTCGAACTCCTGACCTCAGGTGATCCACCTGCCTTGGCCCCCGAATGTGCTTGGATTATAGCCTTGAGCCACTGCACCCAGCCCACAAATTCCCTTTATCATCAGTTTTTTATTTCTCTGGAGAATCCTGACAAAGACTGCATATCTGAGAATTTAAAAATCATTTATTGGAGCTATTGAATCTGTTGTATTCTGTTCTTGAAAATCCTTGGGGCTGAGGGAATATATACCTTCTCTCTTTTCGTCTTAAAAATTAAAGCCTGACTCAAGGTAGGGGCACTCACTGTTGTGATATGTTTTATCCCAACATCAGTCCCAGCGGACAGACTCTGTGCCCTGGGACCCTGGTGTTTTCCAGGAATGACTGTGGCAGAGCAGCTGCTTGTTGTGATGAGGGCTGGCGGATAAGAGTCCCCTCTGAGTTTGGCATCACTTATTTGGAATCCTCCAGTAGAAAGGATGTCCCGCTATAAACTCATTCTTGTAATTATTGTGTTTCAGTTCAGATTTTATTGCTCCTACTTCATTATTTCAAAGCCACATGTTGATGTCCATGACTGGTGCAGAACAGCCCTGATGGTTCTAGAAGCACCATGGTCTGACCTGTCCTGACAGATGATCCAGCCATGAAATGCTGGCGCAGGTGTGGATTGAACCATCCTCTTCTCTCTCTTCACTCTCTGGAAACAAGACCCTGAAGTCCAGATGGCCAAGGACTGCACCAGCTCTTACAGACAGGCTGAAGTCGGGACACAGGGCCTGGCTGGCACCCCGATCTCCAGACTATGCTGCCTTCCACTGCCGGGTCCCAGGACCCAGATGTGAGTGAATCTTTGTTTTTGACTTGCATTCATTCCTTTATAAGACCCACAAATCCTTTGTCCTAACGCCACTTGTTAGGACTGACAGATTCCTGATCATGGTGTATATGCTGTTATCAGTAGGTTCCAAAGCTTGTCCTTGATGCTCACAGTCTCAGAGTTGAAGAGGCCCTGGCGGGCACCCAGGCCAGCCTTGTCTGGTAAGTGCCTAGGCCCTTGAGACCACCTCATGCCCTTCATAGACAGAGACAAATTAAAAACAGAGACTTGATTCTCCTGATTGAAAAGAAGGGAAGAGATTTTCTCTCCTTTTTCTCTGAACATCTACTTTTTTTTTTTGAAATGGAGTCTCACTTTGTAGCCCAGACTGGAGTGCAGTGGTGCAATCTCGGCCCACTGCAACCTCCACCTTCGGGGTTCAAGAGATACTCCTGCCTCAGCCTCTTAAGTAGCTGGGATTACAGGTGTGCGCCACTGTGCCTGGCTAATTTTTTTGTATTTCTAGTAGAGAGGGGGTTTCACCATGTTGGCCAGGCTGGTCTTGAACTCCTGACCTCAGGTGATCTACCTGGCTTGGCCTCCCAAAGTGCTGGGATTATAGGCATGAGCCACCACACCCGGACCTGAGCATTTACTTTTGAGAGCTTCTATTTTAAGTAGTTTCTTCCCTGTTTGAAATCTATATACATTGTTTTGAAAACTAGGTTGGTAGTTTCTGGCCTTGTGACCTAGCATGTCTTTCTCAAGGACCTGGAAGCCCATTTTGAACTGTAAACATCAGAGGAGTTGGCACCCCTGTCTCTGGTTTCTGAGGGAAGCCAAGAGCCTAATTTAGTGCATCTTGCTTCAAGTTGCAAAACGAACTTATGTTAATATTATAAAGATAGGAGTTTATTCTTCTTCTAGATACAGGCAATTAACAAACGCAGATGGTAACACCCCAATGACCCCAGTGACCAGGTGGCTCTGGAGTTAATAGTTAAATGGCACTGTCAGGGTCTCTTCCTTAAGGACTGGTTATTGTTTATGTTGAAAACACGTGTGCAGTGAGTTGTACCTGCTTGAGTCTTCAAAAGAATGCGATCGTTTCTTTGCAGCCTCTTAGCCTTGCCTGTGATGCATATCACCTTCTGGCTTAATCGTTATTCAATGACAAAAATTTCTTTCTCTTCCACCTTTGTGGAGAGGGTTTCTGGGTTGGGAGCACATTCTATTTTTGATTATATTTCCCCAGTAATGGCCTTACTTACATCTAATGACAATAAATGATGGATACTTAAAATACTCTCTAGTTCTAGGAGGCATTCCCATACATTAATTCATTTGGTTTTTATAAAATCAGGAGGCATTGAGACGCCACTAAATTAGACGGGATCACTATTCCATTTTAGTCATTTCCCATTTAGGATACTGTGGCACAAGAGGACAAATGCCACCCATGGGACCCTGTCTGGCTGTTGGCAGAACAAGGACTGACCAAGGGCATCTGGCTCCAAATCCAGGGCTTTCCCAGGTTTCACTGTGAGGCACGTGGGGTCTGAAAACACCCCGGCATGTGCATGTCTACAGCCTGCCATCTAAGTGGTCTTAGATGTGCCTTTGCTGTGTTACATAAGCATCTCTGAGGGCCCTGGCACCTCTTCTGGGAGTTTCTGGCGTCTCCTTACCTTCCAATCTGTCTGGCTCCAGAGCGAGAAAGCAGCATGCCCGCCCCACTCCTCGAGGCTTGGAGACAAAGTCCCGGCCCAGGCTGCACCCTCACTTTCCATCCAACCCAGCAACTGCTGCCCGTGGAGGGAGGGCAGTGGTCTCCAAAGTGGAATGTGAAAAGGGAAAAGTCATCCTGGCTGTGATCAGGAAGCCGAGCTTCTGCAAAGGCAAACAGAAACAGAAAAAAGACAGGGCACATGTCTGTGTGAGGGAGAGATTCGGGGGAGCAAAACAGAGGAGGCCCAGAGAACTCTCCAGAAGGGTCCGAAGGCTGCCACATGCAGGAGTGGTGCTCACCGTCCAGTGAGGAGGGGGCAGGCTCCTCGGGTGTGGTTGTTCCCGTGGGAAGGCCAACCGTGATTCCATGTCAGGAGGAATTTCTGGCCAGAGCCATCTGTCCACAGAAGGGGCCATCCCGCTGGATTTATGGCCTGGTGTTCAGCAGGATGAGGACCCATCATCAAGGTCGTGTGAGCACCCACGTCACCTGGATGCCAGGGGCCCATCCTCCAGTGCCCAGTGAGTGAGGGGTGAGGCTGAGGGCCTGCATTTTCTATATGTCTCCTCACCATGCAGGCAGTCCTCACCCACATCCTGAGAAACACGGTGTTACGTCATTGCTTCTGTAGGAGAGCCACCTGGATGGGGCTGGATGCTGGACTGGATGACTCAAAGTCTCTTCCAAGTCTAAAACATTTTTCCATTGCATGACCCTCCTTCCTAGCTCTTCCTCATGCTCTCCAACACAACCAGCTTTCCCTGAAAGTAAACCCACCTGGCCACCCCCTGGAGATGAGGGCTTCTCCCACCCTGCCTCTCCCTGCTGTGCACCTGCCTGGCAGCCATTGCCATGGCTGGCTGTCTTGGCGATACAAAGAGGAGGCTGTGAACGCGTGGTGATGCTGCACTGCCATTTCTGTCTCCTGCCCTGGCAGGGAGATATTTTGGCCATAGAGTAATGACAGATGTGTGATTTTGCAGCAGAACTTGTTGAGCCTCTGTGAGCTTGCACATATAGGGTCCTGGAAGTCTGACCTGAGATGTGAAAGACCCCATGGAGGTCAAGGAGTTCAAATCGCTCCATCTACAGGTGGAGGAAACAGGGCAGCTGCCACCCCGGCACCAGCGCTGGAGACAGGAGGTGCAGCGCATGCCGAGGAGGGGCTGCATTCAGGATGGGAAGCGTTTACTCGGCCCACACATGTGCATGTGAGAGTGGGCAGCCGTGAGTGTGCAAGTACATGAGTGTGAACGTGTGTGACTGTGAGTATGAGCATGTGTATGGGTGTGCAGATTCCAGAGTGAACATGCGTGAGTGTGCACATGATTGTGAATGTGTGTCCATTTATGTGTGTGTATGCCCATATGTGTATGCAAGTGTGTGAATACGTGGACATGTGTTAGCGTGAGCCTGTGTGAATGAGCATGCATGAGTGACATGGCATATGAGTTTGTGTTTGTAAGTGCATGTAAGTGTGAACGTGTTTTAGTATATGTGTGGATGTGGGTGTGTCTGTATGTGTGGGTGCACATGTGAGTGGGGATGTGTCTGTGTTTACGCCCAGTGTGAGTGCATGTATGTAAGTGTGACTGGGTGTGAATGCCTGTGCATGTGTGCCCTGAAAGCCGTCATGGCACACTAGAGGCCTTCCTTGGTTCTCCAGCCCTTGGATGCTGTGTGGGGGATGCTGGCCTTTGCACAGAGGCCCTGACTAGGGAGAGTAAATACAGGGCTCTCTGCTGGATGGACTGTGGAAGACATGCCCAAGGAGTGTCGGGCACCACATGCTGGAGAATTTTCTCCCTGTTGGGTTACAGTATGGGATTGTTTTTCTCCTCAAAGTGTTTACATAGACAGTGCAAACATGGAAGATCCCTCTGGCCATCGTGCAGAAAAATATGCATAAAAAATAACTGGAGAAAAATGCCTTCTGTGGATTAAACACAGACAGAAACACACACACACGCAGGCAGGGGTATCTTTCATTGTGCCCGTATGAAAGGATGAAAGGGAGGTTGAAGGAGAGACCAAGCTAGAAACACACTGTTCATTTTGAGATTTTCTCTTTAATCACTTAATATAAGGAGATAGCATGTTAGAATGACATTTTACAGACGATTGTAAATGATTATGAAGTCCTCAACTGGTAAACGTCTTGACTTTGTCCCCATCTTGGGGTCTGTGGTTAAATCATGATAGACTGACAGTGGAGTAGAGTGTGAAGAACTCTGGCCTGAGGCTTGGATGAGTCTAGGTTTAATCTCCTGTTTACTGCTGTGTGGCCTCCTGAACCTGCTTTCTCACCTATATAACGGGGACAAAGGACCTATTTCATAGAGTAATCGTGAAGATGAGAGACAATGGTGCACCGGACAAATCTGAGTTTAACCTATAACATTATCCCTGATTTTACCTTCATATTTTATAGAAACATTCATACATTATAGTAGCAAACATTCTGAGATGATATATAAAATATAATACAAATTCATCATGCATTTTAAAAGTCGAGATTTACTTAAGTCATAATACTTTTATTCTTTCAGTGTTCATCAAATTTCATTTTCCTGAGTATTATATAATAGCTTTAACATTTATTCTTTTCCTATTAAAACCTTTTTTAATGAGTTGATTCTGCATGAAGCTTTTGGTTTTCTATAAAGGCTGCATCTTCCGAGGACACCTGTTGGGCACAGCCCCTTCACTGTGTGAACATTTCCAGCCTCCTTTTTGTGTTCTTGTCATGGTATCTGACATTTAGTTACCAACCAAGCAAATGCAGCAGTCCATCATCTCAGAGATCAGTCTGCAGAGAATAAAAGAGGTAGCAACGTTGGTGAGGGTGTTAGGTAAGAAGGTCCCTTCTGGAGGAATTGTTTTGTTTCTAGAACGCCAGGGAGTTATGGTCCCGAACCACACAGCCAAGATGAATCTTCGTTAATTCATCTGAATGTTTCCTCAGCAAAATCAACAAGATCTTGTTCATTCAGTGTTAAAAATTGGGCTTCGGCAGTCAGCACCAAGCAGTAAGAGGCAATCAGCAGTGTGGTACAAAGACATCATAAACTAGAACGAAGTTAACATGAAATCTAAAAACCTACTTCACATACACCGTGATGGTTACCAAAATAAAACAGAAATCACCTATATTCTTATCACTCTTCAAAATATTTTCTTCCCTTCTGATGGCTCTTTCTGGAGTTTTCTCCATGTGTATGTTGCCATTTTCATGGAGATGAAATTTTATGCATTGCTGTTTTGATTTCACATTGTTAAGTGTTTTTTTTTTTATGCTGCTAAATCTTCATGGTGAGCATTTCAATGCCTGTGTAATACTGCATCCAGATGCTCTGTAGTAATTACTCTCCTGTGGTTGTTCAATCATGTAATTTTCCACTTTAAGTTATAATAAGTAATGTACATCCCTGTGACCACAGCTTCGTGTTCTCAGCCCAAGCTCCAGGAGGAGAGGACTGGGTCAAAGCGCCTGGACATTTTTATGACTTTTGAACTGCATTGTGGAACCGTGTGACAGACACTTTTCTGAATGCGATGTACCACTTTGATTTGATGCTGTTTTCTCCTGCCAGTTTGGAATGATAGGGTAAGAGAATACTCTGTGTTTGATGGAGAGAGTCAGATTTGGGTCTGAAATGTGTTTTCTGCGTAACAACGAGATGGAATCCAGTGATGCAGGCTGGGCTGTTGGGTACTCACCTTTCCTAAGAGATGCCATCTGCTTGGAGCCGAATAGGCTGTGACACGCAGGTGCCCCCAGGGAAATGGCCGTGGCAGTGGTGGGCGTTAACCAGCAAGCATAAAGGACTGCTCCCAGCGGTGCTTCCTCTGAAGCCATTGCCACCACAGCAGCGCAGGGGACAGAAAGGCCCCTTTTCTGGGTCCAGGCAGCTCTGGCCCCTATGTGCCCTGGCATAGGAGAGACCCAGACTGCTTGGTAGAGGCCCAGAGCCCTGTGCCACCACCACTGCCGGACGATGCTCAGGACATCAGGGCTGGCCGTGCTGGCTCTGGTCAGTGCTGTGGGCCCCAGCCAGGCTAGCGGCTTCACAGGTGAGGGGTCTGGGCTTGGCATGGGCAGTTTGTGAGGAGGGGGGCTCCTTGGCATGACTCTCATGAGGACAGCCCCCTACTGAGACCTGGGCAGGCAAGGACACCTCTGCTTTGTGAGCTGACATCTGTTCCTTGGTGGCCAAGCTTTTCATGAGTGCACACAGTAGCAGCTGTGGAGGTGGGGCAGGAATGCTGGGTAGGCTTTTGGGAAGGGGACTCCCCCAGTGGGAGCCTGCTGCTGAATCACCTGGGTGTTCATGGGGAGTAAGATGCAGATTCTTAGCTAGCAGGTCTGGGGCGCAGGGCCTGGAACTCTGCATGTCTGTGGGTGATGCAGATGCTGGGTCCTTGGATCCCACTGAGAAGAGTGAGCTCCTACAGACACAGAGGAAAGGTCTCCCGAACCTTGGTGCATTCAAGTCCTTGCTTACAGATTGGAAAAAAAAAAAAAAAATGGAGACCGAGCCTGGGCAACATCATGAAACCCCATCTCTACAAAAACCAAAATTAGCCAGGTGTGGTGGTGCACACTTGTGGTCCCAGCTACCCAGGAGGCTGGGGTGGGAGGATCGCTTGAGCTTGGGATGTTGAGGCTGCAGTGAGCCGAGATTGTTCCACAGCACTCCAGCCTGGGTGACAGAGCGAAATCCCCCCAAACAAAAAAACACAAAACAAAAACAAAAACAAAAAAGAAAGGCAGACCCAGAGTGGATCAGGGACTCAGCGTAGGGCACGCAGCTGTCCAAGGGCAGAGTCACCGAGGGAGCCAGGGGCCGCGCCAGGGCTCCTTCCAGAGTTTTCCTCAGCATGCGGAGGGCACAGCAGCAGCTAAAAAACACGTGGGAGTTCTGAAACCCCAGAATCGAGGAAATGGGACTACAGACTTTGAAATCATTTTCTTCTGAACATCTGTCTTATTCAGTTAGAAATTTAAAGGGGTCCATTCTGTTTCTAAGATCTACTATGTTTTTGTACTAGCTTAAAGTTTTTCGCCCAGAAGCAGGATTTTCCTTTTACTGTGATTTGTGAAATGTATGTCTCTGTTGGAACAGGTAATGCACCACAGTTCAGGTGCATAATGGGTGGGAATCATGGCAAGCTGGAGAAGGTCTTAAGAGGTGTTTCCAGAACCCCTCACTGTATATGAAGACACCGGGCAGAACCTCAGCAACCCCATATCTACCCACCCTGAATTTTCCCTGTAAAGCACTGCCTTCAGGGGCATGGCTCCACCTCAGCCTTCTGCAGCCACAGGGCATGGCTGTGATTTCACAGATGACAAGAGGAGGGCACCTGGAAGGCGTGACACGGGCACAGAATCACACAGCAAGGGTTCACGAGCCTGGGTGTGAGTGCAGGTCCGTCTGACCCCAGAACTCTCGTCAGCCTCAGAGCATTAGGCTTTCCCCCCTCTGAGACCAGAATCCAAGACCCCCAATTCCTGCTCCGATGGCCCTTGCAGGGCTTTGCGGAATGGCAGGATCTGCTAAACACTTTCTTCTCTGGGCTCAGTCAAGAAGCCAGCCTTGGGATGACATGTGGTCTTGGATGAAATGTAAAAGACAAAACAGGACAAACATCTCCTGGGTTCCAGAGGAGACGAGTGTGTGTGTGTGTGTGTGTGTGTGTGTGCGCGCGTGCACATGCATCTGTGTGTGTGTATGTGTGTGCACATGTGCACGTGTGTGTGTGCATATGTGTGTGTGTGTGCACGCGTGCATGAAGGAGGGCTCTGCTGTGGACCAGCCGGGGCCCTGTGACGATTAGATGGGGCCCTGGCCGCTCTCTAGAGACCAGGAGCTGTAAGTGTCCTTAATGTGGTTGGCATCTCTGCTCAGGTTAAGAGGAAAAACACAAGCTAGATCCACCCTGCTAGGCTCTCTGTGCAGGAGGTCCTCAGGCTTTGCTAGTTCAGTGTGGTCACTGAGCAGGTGACTGCGTTCCTCTGGCAGCATTCCCCCGTTCCTCAGGTAAGTCACTTCTAGGCTCTGGGCCAAGCTGCCTTGGTCCCAGAGCTGATTTGTCCTGTTCCACCCCTTACGACAAGGGCCTCCATTCCTCTGTGGAGCTCACCTCCCATTCCTTTGTGGAACTACCCCATTGGTGATGGCAAGCAGCAGGTGGTCTCCATCCCCAGAGGCCCTGCTGAGCCCACAGGGTGATTTGGGGTGCAGCCCCCAGAGGAGGTTGCAGCTCCAGTCCTTGTTACTTGTGGCGTGGGGTCGCTCTGTGGCAAGTGTGTGGTCCAGCACCCGTGTTCCGCCCAGAGCAAAGCTGCAGCCTCTCCCTCACCTGGTTTGAGGGCTGGCTCTGCCCTGTTTCTTCCTGGGGCGAGTAACAAGCCCCCTGAGTCCTGCTTTCTGCACACTGGTAGGTTGCTGTGAGGTCCAAGCAGGGAATCCTCAGAGAGGCAGCCCTAGTGGAGGGAATAAGGACAGTGCAGGTTTTGTGATCATTTCTGCTCCCATCTCCACATTTCTCCCCAGAAATCAATCCAGCTGCTCACTGAGGGAAGTAAACTGTAATACTGAGCCCCCACCTCTTGGCTGTAAGTAAAGCTTAGAGCCCAGTTGAGTATCTGAAATGCAAGCACTGTAGGTCAAACCCTCTGTTCGTCCTGCATGGAGCATCCACAAACTCACAGCCCCCTGCTAGGTGCCACAGGGGAGCAGGAGGGGCCCCTTCACCATCCCTGTGTTCACTTGCTAGGGCTGCTGTGACAGTGAAACACAGCCGAGGTGGCTTACATGGCAAAAATGGATTGATTCTTTCACAGTTCTGGAGGCCAGACGTCTAAGATGAGGGTGCGGGCAGGCTGGCCCCTCCTGAGCTTCTGTGGGAATCTCTGCTCCAGGCTCTAGCTTCTGGGGTTGCTGGCAATCTTTGGTGTTCTTGGCTGGTAGAAGCATCACACCGGTTTCTGCCCTCTTCTCCCTGTGTGCCTGTCTGTCGCTACATTTCCCTTTACCATAAGGACCAGTCATATTGCATTAGGGCCCACACTAATGTCTTCACTTTAGCTTGATAACCTCCATAAGACTTAGCTGCAGATAAGGTCAGACTCCGAGTTACTGGGGTCTAGGACTTTAACATATGAATTTTTGGAGAAACACAATCGATTCAAATTAGGCATTAGGGTTCCCTGGTAGATGGGGAGTCTAGGCACCAGGTTGTAAGATGTCCATGACGAAGAGGTACGTGGTGTATGTCATGGGGCCAGGGGTCTTGAGAACCGAGTGTCACGTTGATGGATGGTGATGGGCCTTATGCCCAGGAACTGGGCTCCCGTGAGAGACACGTGGGGCCCAATACAATGAACTTGATGCTTGTCCTTCTGCAGGGGTGACTCTGCCTCCTCCTGATCATAGTGGTGATGGTTGAACAGTTGAATCAGTCTTTTTTTTTTTTTTTTGAGATCGACTCTCACTCTGTTGCCCAGGCTGCAGTGCAGTGGTATGATCTTGGCTCACTGCAATCTCTGCCTCCTGGCTTTAAGCAATTCTCCTGCCTCAGCCTCCCCAGTAGCTGGGATTATAGGCACGCACCACCACACCTGGCTTTTTTTTTTTTTAATATTTTTGGTAGAGATGGTGTTTCACCATGTTGGCCAGGCTGAGGCTGGTCTTGAACTCCTGACCTCAAATGATCTGCCCACCTCAGCCTCCTAAAGTGCTGGGATTATAGGCGTGAGCCACCACGCCCAGTCTGAACTGATCTTTTATCATAGACAAACTTCTCACGTGTGCTTTAATTACCTGTTTACTTATCTTCCACGTCATTGAAAAGAAAGCTGTCATTGTCATGCCCTGGCCGCAGTAGGCCTTCAGCGTGCACTGCAGAGAGAGCTGTTGCACGTTCCTTTCCCAGAGGGCAACCTTGAGACTCAGGGGGACCAAGAGATAGATGTGCAAGAGATTCTGCGGCCTGTGGAATCAGCCCACATGGAGCGGAAAAAAGGGACGTGATATCTGAGGCTTGATCCCAATGCTGTGCTCTTTCCTTCTTATGCTGGTTGTGAGATCACTGTGCTCGGGAAGCACACGTGGGGCCAGGTGGTGTCTCCTCCTTGCTCACAGCAGCTTTCTTAGCAGGCCAGGCTACGTTTGTGCTTTATTCTCTGCGTTCACTCATGCAGCAGCCTTCCTGGCCCACTAGCAGGAAAAGGCCTGTGGAGAGGGCTGGTGGGCAGCTCCTGAAGGCCTGCCGAGTGTGGGAGCGGTGGCCTCACTTGCTGTTGCGGAGGGCGCCTTGCAGATCGTGGCTCCAGGGACCTGATCCTGGCGTCCCTCCCTCTCTGGGTCTCGGTCCGCCTCCTTGCTTGCCTCTCTTTTAGAAAAAGGCCTCTCCCTGTTGGGCTACCAGCTGTGCAACCACCGCGTGACCCACACTGAACAGAAGGTGGAGGCTGTGCAGACATCCTACACCACCTATGTGTCCTGCGGTGGCTGGATCCCCTGGAGGCGGTGCCCCAAGACTGTTTACCGGACCCGGTACCTGGTGGTGGAGGTCCCCGAGTCCAGGAACGTGACTGACTGCTGTGAGGGCTATGAGCAGCTCGGCCTCTACTGCGTCTTGCGTGAGTCCAGGGCTGCTGGGCTGGGGCGGGGCCACCCTAACCATCGAGACTCCTGATGGGACAGTCTCCATTGGCACCCATTGGCCCAGAACTTGCTTCCAGGAACATGGTTCCCAGCCTTGACTGGGCAGCAGGGTCATTGGCAGGGCTGTCCCTGGCCCCACTCCCAGGTTTCTGAGTCCGTGGGTGGGGGTGAAATATAAGAATTGGCCTTTCTGACAAATTCCTGGGTGACACTAATGCTGCTGACCCAGGGACTCCCCTTTGAGAAACTCTGTTGTTCTCAGAGGGCTCCTGGGCAGCTCTAAAAATGCAGATGCCTGGGTGTCATCCTGAGAGAGTGGGAGGGAATTGGTCCATGGCATGGCATGAGTGTCGGGAGTTTTCAAAGCTCCCAGAGTGATTCTCATTCGCCGCCGAGTGTGAGAGCAGCACTGCACTCCTCTGCAGCAGCCTTTTCTTACTAAAAGCTGCAGTGAAATGCTTTTGCCACCGAAATCCTATTCTGAACTCCAATACATGAAAGAGCTGGAAGGAGCCCCAAGCTACCACCCTAAGTGCCCAAGGCCTTCAGCTTCCTCAGTGCAGGTTGAAAGCTTCGGGCCTGTAGGATGCTTGGGGCCAGTTACCAGGGTGACTGGTGTGGTTATGCTGGGCCAGGATCTGAGGCGTTGGGATGGGGCAGGGGCTCAGGGCTCAGCCTACTGACACACAGTTGATCTCTTCCAGGGGAGGGGTGTGTGTGTGTGTGTGCTTGTGCTAATTTTGAGTCAATAGCAGGTCTGCAGTGAGTTTCCGTATAGTCAGAAGGTCCTGCCTCACAGCCCCACTGTGGAAGGGTGTGGGAGGGTGTGGCTCCAGCTAGGTGTCGGACCGGGCCACTGAGACACAAGGGCTGTGACCTCTAGAGTGCAGAAGCCACCAGCTCCTGGGTGCCCCCATGGGGACCCTACAGGACCCTTCCTTCTGGCCTGAGACCAGGACACCAGCAGAATGGGGCATGGACTCCCCAAACCAGGGTGTCTGCCTCCTCCAGAAACCAAGGGCCCCAAGGGGTCTGCATAGACCTGCCTGCTGGGCCATCCTGAGTGGGCCCTCCCTCAGCCTCCAGTGTGATTTCACAGATGACAGGGAGGGTTGACACTTTTCTGCTGTCCCATTCAGAAAGCCAGGCACAGAGAGGGCTCCATGGTTCCAGGTGTGCTGTTTAATAGGCGTGTTCCTCTTTCAGGATTGTTAAAACAACACCATGACCAACACCTCCAACACCAACAGAAACCAGGCAGGGCCAGCTGACCCCAGAGAACACTTTCATCACCAATAGAAGCCAGGCAGGGCCAGCTGACCCCAGAACAATGGCTCTTCTGTACTCTCATTGGTTCCCCAGAGGGCCACTGGCAGGGAGAAGCTGTCCTGGCCGTGCCGCTCAGGTGCTGGTCTAAGGAGACCCTTCCTGTGCTGATGCCTGCCGCCCATTCCACTTTCCCTTTCTCTGAGGGCCATACGCACAGAGGGGCTAGCCTGCTGAGCCACGGTTGCTGCCACCCCTGCCCTGCGAGCAGCCTCCCCTCCTGGTCGAGGCAGAGTGAGGGGGGTCATTAGGACACAGGTGTCAGGGCCACAGCACCTTGGTTTAGAGCACGTGGGCTTTGCAGTCAGGACGTGCTCAGCCCCGTCCTGTCCTGTCTTACCTGTGAAGGCCACATCTCTTCCTGCCTGCGGGCACTGCCAGAACTAGTGAGGGGAGGAGGCCCTGGGGGAGGATGATTGGCAGCCCCTCCTTGCCCCCTCTTGGCAGGGCCACACCAGCCCCACCCAGGCCTACCATCACCTTCTCTGATACCCTGGCCGGCTGCAACAAACAAGTTAATTCCATCCCAGAAGACAGAGAGGCCCCTCCCCACCACCTGCCCCTCATCCTCCTCGCCCTCTGCAAACCAGCCTCCAGGAAGCGACTCTTGTGGGAATCAGCTCCATTTTCAGAGAGTGAGCACCTTTAATCCAGGGCCATACCCTTGCGGTCAGGGAGTCCTGTGGGTGAGAGTGGGCTGCCCTGGGGAGCTGCAGGGAGTGGAAAGTGAGACCTCAGGGAGGGACGTGGGGCAGGAGGGGAAGTGGACTCACCCTGCGGGCCCCGAGCCCCTCAGTACATGGCCCCTCAGGTTCTAGAAGGCTCACTCTAGCACAGTGAAGAGGGGGCAGACCCAGAAGGAGGAAGGAAGAGATGATGCAGGGGAATGGGCATTGCCTGCATGCATTCTTTCTAAGAAGCCAGGGCAGGAGACCCTCCAATCTCAGGCACCAAAAGACCGAGCATCCCTGGCTCTGCAGGTGGGGATCCAGGCTGGGGGAGGTCTGAGCCTCCACCACTGTGGCACAGCTCCTGGGAGGCAGGCTGGGGATGTGGGCCTGGGGCTCTCTGACCCTCAGGCAGATTTTAGGGGGTTTACCAAGCTTCACTTTAGTGTAGGGAGTTTGTGCGTTTGAGTACTGTGGCCATGGCGATTGCAGGAGGAGGAACATTTCAGGGCACCGAGGACACAGGGTTCTTTCTCAGGAAGGTCCCTGCCTGTGCTGGGGCCTGGTGAAGGGCACAGTCCACGAAGCTTCTGCAGCTCCTGCCGCCAGAGGGCCTGGATCCCGTGGGCCTCTATCTCTTCCCAGCCCCAAGCCTGGAGACACCACGCTGCTAACGTGAAGGTGCCTGTGGCGGGTGGATTTCCACCCCGGATTCTGGCAAGCACAGCCTTCTCTGGCTTGCACAGCTCTTTTGATCAAAGCCTGAAGGGTTAATGGATGCTTTTCCCGGATGCCATGTGGCAGGTTGGCTCCTTGGAGCTGGACGTGAGACGGTCTCAGTGATGGACCTGTTGAGAGCTGTGACTCTGATTTGTACAGAATGAAGCAGGGCCCGAAGCTGGACCTGGCAGGTGCTGGAGGCACCTGGAAATACTGGGAGGCATGAAGGGTAGGAGACGCTCCTTCTTCTGTGGCGGGGCCTCCAGGTTGCCTGAGTGGGTGACATGCCCTCAGCCGCCTGGGGGTCTGAGCCTTGGAGTCCTATCCCCTAGGCAGTGGTAAAACGCCAGCCGTGTTTCCTCCGTTCTCCTCCCACTCAGGAATGACTTATGCAGAGAAGGGAAGGGAAGCATGAATACACACGTGATATGACTTTCAGTGACTTTTCAACTTGCTCAGTCCAGCATTTGGAATGCAATGACAACCTGTGTGTTAAAAATATACTTACAAAAATGAATACACGAGCCATGCAGAAAATTTGGAAACACAGAAAAGAACGAGAGGAAACTATCCCAAACCTGCTGCTTGTGGGTAACCACCTTTCACGTGGTCTTCCCTCCAGGGCAGACATTTCACAAGAGGATGGTCACTGTGTCCAAGACGTCTGTAGCATGATTTTACCACTCAGCAATCATCCATGGTAGCTTTCACGTCCGTTAGCGTCACCCCACTGCCGGCTTTTATGGCCACGTGGCATGAGCTCATAAATGCGTCAGCATTCATTGAGCAAGCTCTCACCACTTAATGTTCAGTTGTTTCTGATTATTCATCATCACATGTAATGCTGTGATGAACATCATACAGTGCAAATGCAGCAGGACACAAGTTGGATTATGTACTTAGGATGAATTCCGAGAAGTGGAACCCAGCACTTAGCTGTGATCTCCAATTCCAGTGACACCCCAGTTCTGCACAGAATCAGCCTCCTGGCAAACTCAGCCTCGTTGGGCAAGTCCAGGACCCCACTGGACCAGGAGATTCCCCAAAACTTCCTGTCGCTGCATGCTGATGACCAGGGGCCCTTTGATGAGAACCTCCTCTTCCGACCTGGCAAAGAGGTGCCAAGGAGGGAGACAGGAACTCCTCCTTCCCAGCCCATCCAGTCCTCAGCCGTGGGAGCCTTGGGTTTTGTGGCTCACACAGAAAGCTCCCCTGTTGCCTCCCTGGACCATGACTAACCGTGTTGCCAGGAGCTGAGCAGTTGTGTTTTATTGTTTGCATTGTGTTAGGGAAGAAGGAGATTTTTGACTTTCTACCAAGCTGGACTTGTTCAGCGTTCTCAGGGCGCTTAGGCAGCCGGCCAGCTCCGAGGGACGGAGGGGCCTCCCAGCACTGCCCAGTTAAGATTCAGCCCTTTCACTCTAAAACACGCCCTGCTGAGTAGGCAACTATTTTTGGAAGCCAATTTTTGGGGGGATTGTTTCTATTTAAATAAAGCTTTTAGTTTAGAATAGTTTTAGATTTGCAGGAAAGTTTTAAAGATAACGCAGGAAGGTCCTGTGCACCCTAGCTTCCCCTAATCTCAGCATCTTACATCTCTCTGGCCTATTTTTCCTAAAGAGCCGACACACTGGGCATCGTCAGTGAACTCCATACTTTATTTGGATTTCCCTGCTTTCCCCAAATGTCTTTTCTGTCCCAGGAACCCACCTTCCATTTAGTCCACATGTTGGCTTAACCCTGAGGCCTTTGCTTTTTGCACTGGGAGACAAAGCAGAGACCTCCAGGTTCCCAGAAGGGCGGCCACCTTCTTTCTTGGTTGCAAGTGCTCTGCAGGGGACCTGAGAGGCCGGTCCCTGGGACCCAGCCTGTCGAGGCTTGCCTTCCACTTGACCTATCTCATGAGTTTTCCCTACCCTCGCAGGGGATGAGTCCAGGACCCAGTTACCAGCTGGCCTCCTCTGGTCTTCTGGGCTCTGAGGGGTCTCGGGCTATGCTTCTAAACCTCCCCAGGCCATAGACACACAGAGTTTGCCATGCATCTGGGCATGAGCTGGACAGTCTGAGTAAAGCCCCGGGGGAATGGTACCCATCATCAGGGTGGCTGGTACCCGTCATCAGGGTGGCTGGCTATGGAGGCTGCAGAGCTGGGCAGGCCTTCTCCAGGGCCCAGCACTGGGGTCCCTCCTCCCTCTGTGTCCTCTTCGCTGCTCCCCTCAGCCTCTTGGAGCTCCACCTTCTCAGATGGGGTTGTCTCCTGCCCTGGGCCCACCTCGGCTGTCTTGACAAGGGCACACTGCAGGCTCTGCCAGCATCGGGCTCATGCTCCACTGTCTCCTGTCCTGTGGGGTTTGGTTTCTTCTCTTTTCTTTCTCTTTCCCCTCCTCGGAGCCCTGAACGTCAGCCCCTGGGCTCCTGACAACTTCCCTTTGGGTGCGTTCTCACACTCCTGCTGTGCTTTCTGAGAGCTCTACAAGCCCTTCTTCCGGAAGGCGTACCGTGGACCCCCTGCAGCCCTGGCTGAGGTCTGGTCCCTAGGACCAGCACACCTCACGTGAGGACTCCACCGGCTGGCCTCTTGCCCTCCTTATCTTTGCCTCCTGCAGAGGCCCGGTGCATTTCTGTGTCTGGAGCCATGTCCGAGCTGCACTCACACGGTGAAGGGCTGGGAGCTGTGCAGTCAGCAGCTGGCGGGCTGGTCCCAGCGGCCGCCTCCACTGCCACTCTGCCGTTCGTCTCCACGTGGGCGAGCAGTGGACATGTCAGACTTCACATTTGCACTGTCACACTCCTGGTCTACCCCAGGCCGTTTTTACCACAGCTTTCCCCAGCTCAGGAATGGAGCCCCGGGCATGCCATGCCCGAAACCTGGGAGCCTTCCTGAGGCTTCTTCTTCTCTGACACCCGCATCCTGTCAGCACATCTTGTGGGTGCCCCCACCTGATCTCCCCAGGGTCCCATGCTGCACTGTCACCTGGGCCGGCCCCCACCACACCCCACTCCAGGCCCACACCTCACCTCTCGGGCGCCACGGCTGATGTCTGCGGGCTCTTCTGAGCTCCCCTCAGCCCAGCCCAGGCATGAGCCCCTCTCCAGAGCGGCCTTCCCAGACTCCCGTCCCCCACGCTGCTGCATCCCCTGAGGCTCTCACCCTGTCTGAGCATCTGTAGGTCTCCTTCCACTATTGTTCCCTCACTGGAGTATATGTTTCCTGAAGGCTGGGCCCTGGGTATCCAGCATCGTGCTGGTCACAGAGCAGGTGCTCAACAAACATTAATGAATGAATGAATGAATGAATGAATAAGTGAGCTATCAGGACTTGAAGCAGCAGAGGCCCTCTCAGGGGGTGGTGGAGACCCCCAGACCTGGACTCCTGAGGCCTAGAGAAAACAGAGACCCCCAGGACCCCAGCTGAAGCTGCCCTGGCAGGACAGATGGGCAGAGGATAGGAGAGGCAAACCAACGGCCCTCCAGTGGGGCGGGTGTCTGCCCATGGGGATGGGCCCTGAACAGGTCACAGACCCGCAGGCGGACTTCAGCACCAGGAAGCACCCACATCAGGTCCCTGGGCAGCAAATCAGGGCTTTGTCTTTTAATGCCAGCATCATTAATTGTATCATTTTCTCCCAGCCCTCAATTGGTCCAGCGAGTTCACATCAAGACCCGGGGTCTGCCCCCCAGAGAGGCCTGAACCATCCACCTCCTCCTGCAGCTTGGACACTGACTGTCCTGGACTTCAGAAGTGCTGCCCCTGGTCAGGGGGCTATGGTTGCATGGCCCCTGAACCCCAAGGTAGGCTGCTGCAGGCTGTGCTCATGGACCTGCAGCCCAGGAGGGTCTCGATGAGGCCTGAGCTGTGTGGTCTATGTGGAGGTGTGGGGAGGAGTGGGTTTCTAGAGCCCAGCCCCTTTCACCGGGAGCCCCCACTGTGTGCGAAGGTGGCGTCTGCTCTTAGATAATTTCTTATTCAAAACCTGGCCACTGAACTCTCAGGGGAGACAAGCTCGTGGCGCTTGCAGGAGCCCTGAAATGGGGAGACACTTTCGGTGGAGCAGAGACCAAATCCACTCCAGCGGAGCAGATTTCCCAGTTTGCCTGGGGAGGCAGGAGCCCCAGGTGGATCTGTTGCAGGTGTGAAGCTGGCTGCACCTGCAGCGCCACAGGGGCCTGATGAGCTCCACAGCACCTGCAGGCGGTCCCTGCTGCCTCAAATGCTTGGGCTGGTCTGGAAAGTTCTCTTTTGATTGGGGTCTGCATACAAGAGAATGGGATGGCATAGATATGTTATACATAATGTGGCATATTAGTTAATATTTTAAATATATATTATGGCATTAGTATAATAGGAAGTGATAAAACGATAGTATACACAATGTCAAGTGTTATATGATATCATTATATTACAAGCTATTGTGTAATGTATAGTGTGACATATTATACTATCCAATATTTGTAGTATCAACAAAATAATGACAGAATAAAATAGTTTTCCATTTCAATGTATATGACAGCAGAGTGAGGATGACAGGCTCTATTTAGCTCCTAAGCCCATCTCTTCAAGGGAAGGCCTGCTGCTGTGGGTCGAGGCCCAGCTCACCCCTGAGCAGGGATCAGTGGTCCTCAGGGACCTCAGGATGGAGAGGAGTGAGGGGCAGGCAGGGGGACATCCTGCCCATCTCCTGTGGCAGATGCCTTTGTGCAGGGAGGTAAATGCAGAGCAGGGCCTCTTGCTTCCTCTCCTGCCCCTCCCCCACCCCAGTGGCTTTTGTGACTTCCACCTGTCCTGGGGCCACAATCATCAATATTTGCCCTCATGCAGCTCCAGAGAGGGACCCCGTGGGCTCCTGGTACAACGTCACCATGCTGGTGAAAATGGACTTCAAGGAACTCCAGCAGGTGGACCCCAGGCTCCTGAACCACACACGCCTCCTGCACTCCTTGGTAGGTAAGAAAGACAGGGGCTGTCTGCATGCTGCTTTCGGCAGCTGCTCAGGTAGACCCAGGTGGGGCCGTGGAATGGACCTGGGGGTTGGGGAGGGTGATGTTCCACTAGTGACCCCAAATGACTGAGTCTGAACCAATTTTTTTTTTTTGAGACAGAGTCGCCCAGGCTGGAGTACAGTGACATGATCTCTGCTCACTGCAACCTCCACCTCCTGGCTTAAAGGAATTCTCCTGCCTCAGCCTCCTGAGTAGCTGAGATTACAGGCGCCCACCATCATGCCCTGCTAATTTTTGTATTTTTAGTAGAGACGGGGTTTCACCATGTTGGCCAGGCTGGTCTTGAACTTCTGACCTCAGGTGATCTGCTTCCCTTGGCCTCCCAAAGTGCTGGAGTTACAGGTGTGAGTTACCATGCCTGGCCCCAAATTCTAATTCTTAAAAAAATCAGCTTCAAAGAGGTACTATTTACCTCTTTGTGTGCAACAACATGCAGACAACTGAAGTGTGTCGTTGGATCAGTTGTGATGTGTGTACCCTCACAGGCCCACCTGTTGTGGGGGAGAGCACGGATCCCTAAGCTTGCAGAGGTCTGGAGTCCCAGCAAAGGCAGTCTAAGCCCCGAGCTCGTCCCTCACCAGCCTCACTCCCAAATCCCTCAAGTTCTGGCTCCTGCTTTTTAGAAGCCCACACCATCCTGGGAGTGCTAAATTGGAAACCCTAGTCTGGGGCTGGAGAGCACCCTGGGGTCCGAGGGTTGGCAGCACCCCTGGCCTCTCCACGCGAGTCAGGAGCACACCCCAGGGTGATATCCCAGACTGTCTCCAGACATTGCCCACTGTCCCCTGGGGATGAAAACAAACACCCTGGCTGAGACCCGCGGATGACACGGCTCACACTTTCTGGCCCTCATCAGTGATTTCCAATCAGGATGTCTTCTCGAGCTCAGGCCACCACCAGTCTCAGGAATCCCAGCGTGGATAGGGCACTGCGTGCCCCCAAGGCGGCCCTCCCTAGGGATGGTCTGACTTCGGGGCCACCTGCTGACAGGAGCCTGCACTCAGAGGGTCCCCAGCTTGGTCTAATGTGCTGCTGTTGCCTCTGGAAATGCTGAACAATTTTCAGACAAGTGGCCCCGCATTTTCTTTGGCATCTGTGTAGCTGTCCTGTGCTTCAGATCTTGTGTGTATCCCACGTGTCCCTGGGGGTCTTGGTGTCAGACTCAGGGTTGGGGCATTCCTTAGCCTGTAGGCTAAGCTGGCTGGGAGCCCAGGGCAGATGCTATACACCTCATGTTGTTCTGGGCCACTGGCCAGGGGGCTGCTGGATGGGTATTCTGAAGCCTCAGCCTCAACAGCCCGGGCTGGGAGTGATTCCTATTTTCCCTTAGCTTGTTGAGGGGGCTGCTCAATTGGTCATTAAGAAGCTGGCTCTAACGCCACACTGCCTGGCCTTGGTGTTGCCACTCATCAGCTATGTGACCTTGGGAAAGTCACTTAACCTCTCTGTGCCTCCTCCATTAATTATAAATAATCAACCAGGAGCGGTGGCTCATACCTGTAATCCCAGCACTCTGGGAGGCCAAAGCAGGCGGATCACTTGAGGTCAGGAGTTCAAGACCCCCTGGCCAACATGATGAAACCCTATCTCTACTAGAAATACAAGCATGGTGGCACATGCCTGTAATCCCAGCTACTGGGGAGGCTGAGGCAGAAGAATTGCTTGAACCTGGAAGGTGGAGGTTGCAGTGAGCTGAGATTGTGCCACTGCACTCCAACCTGGGCAACAAGAGTGAGACTCTGTCTCTAAATAAATACATAAATAGAAGAAATCATCGTAACTCTGCCTGAGACTGGGCCATGAGTTTAAATCATGCATGGAAAGAGCTTGAGGTGGCTCCTGAGCTTCCTGATGTGTGTGGGGCCTGAGACGTCGTGGTGGTTGAGTTTTCAGTGTTGCTGTGTGCAACCTGCTGCCTCCTCACACAGATTTCATCTCCAACCAGACCATGACCCCCTGCAGAAGTGCCTGCCTTGCACAAGGTTCTGGCAGCCTGAGGGGCTGGGCTCCGAGGCCCATTTCTGCTGCTGAATGAGGGGTTCCAATGAGGCTGGGACTGGTTCCCAGTTCTGTCTTCTAAATTACCAGCCACATCTCCTCCCAGGAAGGGGCTTCAAGTATGTCTCAGAGAAGGACACCAGCTCTCCCCAAACCTCCTTTGGGGTTCTCAGTGGAGACTTCGGGGTTTGCTGGCAAAGTTTACTTTGGTGACTGCTGGCTTGGCTGTGCAGTTACCGGTTCACCTGGCTTCCCAAGGGTTGAGATTTCAAGATATTAAGCTGAAATAAAAATAATGCATATGAAATGAGGAAAGTGATCATTAAACCTCAAAAAATTAACCGGTTGTATACAACAGGAGACGATGGCTTTTGATCTCGAATTGTGTCATTCTGGTTCTAATTCTCTGTCGTCAGCTGCAAGAGACCTGTAGTCTTGGCAGGGGTGGGAGACGGAGGGTCCTGGGGCCATTGTAACCGAGGACCACAGACTGGGGGCTTCAAACCACAGAAACACTCTCTCCCAGTTCCGGGAAAGGGAAAGTCTGAAATCACGGTGTCGGCAGGGCTGGCTCCTCCTGGACCTCCAGGCCTCTCTCCTCAGCATGCAGACGGCTGTCTGTCTCTTCACATTGCCTTCCCCTCATTCATGCCTGTTTCTGTGTTGAGGTCTCTCCTTTTATGATGGCACCAGCCACACTGGATTAGAACGTACCCTCACTCATCATATCTGCAGTGACCCTGTTTCCAAATCAGGTCACATTTTGAGGTACTGG